TATTATTTGCCAGGCGGAAATGGCAAAGTCGCACATGCGCAGTCAGGTCAGTTTTTCACGATCAGATAAAAACGAACAGATCAAGAGTTTACATGCGCACCCATCGGGTTACGGATCGGCGTAAACCACCCGTTTTTTTCTGATCACAAATTATAACGGATCGCACCGAATACACAAAAAATAACCCGAACGGAGTGTTTACATGACACACTTTTATTCCGACCGGCCATTTGATCCGGTTACTTATGTCCATGTAAACATACCTAGTCACAGCACCTGGAATCTGACGTAGATTAACAACAAGATTAAAATATATTCCATCAGGGGAGGTTCTGAAAGCAGTGTATCCGCCGCCATTTTGATAGAAATATAGCGTCTGTCCGCGTGTGCGCATGTGGTTTAACACAAAGCCTCAGCGGGAGATGTTTACTTTATCAGTGGGGGGTCAGTGAAAAACCTCCACTCTGGAAGGTGGGTTCAGAAACCTCCAGATTCAAAGAGGGGGGGCACTGGTGTCAACAGAAATCATTCTTATTGGTACCAAAAACTCTCTTTCAAAATCAGAAAATCTTCTCATCCCCCTTAACAACTCTCTGCTACCCCCCTCGCCTCAGGTCAAGAGTCTTGGTGTCATCCTCGACACCACTCTCTCCTTCACTTCACACATCAACAACGTCACTCGGTCTGCCTATTTCCATCTCCGAAATATTAACCGTCTCCGCCCTTCTCTCACACCCCGCTCCACAGCCATCCTTGTTCACAGTCTTGTGACTTCTCGGATTGACTACTGCAACTCCCTTCTTTATGGCCTCCCCAACAAATCTCTCCAGAAGCTACAATTGGTCCAGAACTCAGCTGCCCGTGTCATCACTCAAACCTCCTCCTATAACCACATCACTCCAGTCCTGCAGCAGCTCCACTGGCTCCCGGTTAAATCACGCATAGTCTTCAAAATTCTACTTCTCACTTTCAAAGCTCTCCACAACCTTGCCCCTCCGTACCTATCTGACCTCCTACACATCTCCATCCCCTCTCGCTCTCTCAGATCCTCCTCTTCACTACACCTCCATGTACCCTCTGCCTGCCTCTCCACCATGGGGAGCAGGGCCTTCACCTGCTCTGCTCCTCATCTCTGGAACTCTCTACCCCCTGACTTAAGAAACACCACCTCTCTTTCTCTATTCAAGACTGCTCTGAAAACAAATCTCTTTAGGCTCGCTTATCCTTAACTTTGCTGTATGTATTTTATATTCTTTACACATTTTATATTCTTTATTCCTGTTGATCTTTGTTCTTACTGTAAAGTGTCCTTGGGTGTCATGAAAGGCGCTTTTTTAAATAAAACGATGATTATTATTATTATTATTATTATTATTATTATTATTATGTAAATGATCAGCAGAACCGCAGAGAGAAAGCTGCGGAGGCACTCAAAATATGTGCCGTGTAAACGGCCCCTTAGAAAGTTAAAATAAATTATAAAGATAAAGTTGAGAGGGAACTGAGTAATGGCAATGCAAGAGATGCCTGGAGGGGACTGAACACAATAATGGGGAGGAAACAAAAAGATTCCCTTCAGCACACTGACCCTTTTGGTCTTGCAAATAAACTAAATGTTCATTATTCAAGATTTGACATCCATGACTTCAGTGATGAGGTTGACTCTTTCTGTGCAGCCTTGACACCAACTCCTGTGGAATTACAGGAGAAAGAGGTAATTTCAGTTTTTCAGAACATCAATCCTCATAAAGCAGCTGGGCCAGAAGGGATTAAGGGAAGGGTATTAAAAGAATGTGCCACACAGCTGGGTCCTGTGTTCAAACAGATATTTGAGTTGTTTCTTAACACTAGCTTTGTCCCACAAGCATGGAACATGTCAACTATTGTCCCGGTGCCCAAAATAACACATGCAAAGGCACTGAATGACTTCAGAACAACTGCCCTCACATCTGTATTCTGCAAATGTATGGAGCGCTTAGTGAGCAGAGAACTCATGTGTGTTACAGCTGAGCATATGGACCCTTTGCAGTTTGCATATAGGACTAACCGAGGGGTGGAGGATGCCACTCTCTCCCTCCTCAACAAGGTCCATAATCATTTAGACAACTCAAAGACATTTGTTCGCATATTATTCATGGACTTTTCATCAGCTTTTAATACGGTTCAGCCACATATACTTTTAAGAGGAAGACCCCATTGAGTTTGTGTTGATAACACTCTATCTGGTTTGATGAGTTTTCTGGCCCTTAATGTCATTAAAACCAAAGAACTTTGTTTGGGAGGTAGACAGGGAGCAGATAGCACCAAATCTACATTTAGGCCCTCTACCGGATTCCAAAAAAGTTGGGACACTAAACAAATTGTGAATAAAACCTGAATGCAATGATGTGGAGGTGCCAACATCTAATATTTTATTCAGAATAGAACACAAATCACAGATCAAAAGTTTAGACTGAGAGAATGTATAATTTTAAGGGAAAAATATGCTGTTTCCAAATTTCATGGCATCAACAAATCCCCAAAAAGTTGGGACAAGTCCATTTTTCCCACTGTGTGGCATCCCCCCTTCTTCTTCCAACACTCAACAGACGTCTGGGGACAGAGGAGACCAGTTTCTCCAGTTTAGAAATAGGAATGCTCTCCCATTCATGTCTAATACAGGCCTCTAGCTGTTCAATCATCTTGGGCATTGTTTGTTGCACCTTCCTCTTTATGATGCACCAAATGTTCTCTATAGGTGAAAGATCTGGACTGCAGGCTGGCCATTTCAGTATCCGGATCCTTCTCCTACGTAGCCATGATGTTGTGATTGCTGCAGAATGTGGTCTGGCATTATCGTGTAGAAAAATGCAAGGTCTTCCCTGAAAGAGATGACGTCTAGATGGGAGCATATGTTGTACTAGAACCTGAACATAGTTCTCTGCATTAATGGTGCCTTTCCAGACATGCAAGCTGCCCATGTCACAAGCGCTCATGCAACCCCATACCATCAGTGATGCAGGCTTCTGAACGGACCGTTGATAACAACTTGGGCTATCCTTGTCCTATCTGGTCCAGATGACATGGCGTCCTAGTGTTCCATAAAGAACTTTCAAATCATGACTCGTTCTGTTATTTCCTTGACAGTGGCATTCCTGTTTGAGGTGCAGTGACGTTTAAGGGCCCAGAGATCACACTTGATACAGTTGATCACAATATTTTACAATAGAGGCTTGAATATGATGTTGGAATTACAGGAACAACTCTAAAATGGTTTAAATCATATCTATCTGATAGATTACAGTTTGTAAATGTAAATAATAAATCATCTTCATATACCAAAGTTAGTCATGGACCTGAGCACCTTAGGAATTAATTTTTCAGTCTTTCTCCCTCCTTAGATAGCATTAATAGGTTCTAGAATTGCGCCGCTCAAGGTGGCTGCATGTTGGAGCAGCTCTGTTACTTTCATTCTGAGATTTTGCTTTTGGAAACTTTAATTCCTCTTTTTCTGGATGTAAATCACAATTTTTTGGATGATTGTTTCCTCTGGTATCAGATGCTATGCAGCTGGAAGGATTTTTACTGAAACTTTTTTTTAGTTTTGGACATTTGTCATGATGCGTAACCATGGCAACAAGGCAGTTTTCTACAACCAGCAGTTGATTAACATCTCAAAAGCTAAAATAATATCTCAGCTACAGCCCCAAATCTCAAGTGAGTTGAAAAGGATGTTCTGTGGACGCATTCTCATCTACCTGCCAGCTTTGCTCGAGTGCCTGACCACTGAGATCCTGGAACTAGCAGGAAACACGGCTCATGACAGTGGAAGGACAGGATTGTCCCTCGGCACCTGCAGCTGGCTGTCCACAGCGACGAGGAGCTCGGCAGACTGCTGGGAGGAGTGGCCATCACACTGGGAGGAGTTCTGCTTGGCATTCAGGCGGTCCTACAGGCCGGGGGAACTGAGAGGCCAGCCAAGTCTGGGTGGACGGATCGGACGGCATCTGCAGCCAGTTTCTTAGGATCCACTGTGGAATGGACCTTTACAAGAGATCCTTCCTGTCTACAGCCATCAGCATCTATAACATCTCTTAATGAAATGAGGACAACAAGTTACTACAACAAATAATTTCCCTCTGGGATTAATAAAGTATTTTTGAATTTGAATTTGAATTTGAATTAATCTGTCCTCCAGCTATAATGTTAAAAATCTTGGTGTTATTTTTGATCAGGACATGTCTTTTATCCCCCACATTAAAAACGTGACTAGAACTGCCTTCTTCCGCCTGCGTAATATCACTAAAATTGGAAACATCTTATCTAATTTATAATTATGATGATTGTTGTTGTTGTTATTGTTAAGCACTTTGATAACAGGTTCTGTTTTAAAAGTGCTCTATAAATAAAGTTGACTTGACTTGACTAAAAATGATGCAGAAAAACTGGTCCATGCATTTGCCACGTCTAGACTGGACTATTGCAATGGTTTATTATCTGGGTGTCCAAATATTCTTTAAAACATCTTCAGTTGATCCAAAATGCTGCTGCCAGAGTCTTAACTGGAGTTACTGGGAGAGATCATATCTCTCCAGTTTTAGCTTCTCTCCATTGGCTCCCTGTCAAATCCAGAATATAATTCAAAATCTTACTTCTAACATACAAAGCTCTCAACAACCTGGCTCCGTCTTATATTACAGATCTTATTGTTCCATATTTTCCTAACAGAGCACTTCACTCTCAGACTGCAGGTTTACTTGTGGTTCCTAGAATTTACAAAAACAGAATGGGAGGCAGATCTTTCAGTTATCAGGCTCCTCTCTTGTGGAACCAACTTCCAATCTCTGTCTGTGAGGCTGACACATTATCCAGTTTTAAAACTAGGCTTAAGATTTTCCTTTTTGCTAAATCCTATTCACCTTATTCTGCAAGAGCGTATGTGGGCTGCCATGACAGACAGGTACCGCCCCCTCCCGGTTTTATACTTCCGGTGAGCTAAAGCGAGAGGCACTTTTGCTAATGACAAATTCTAGTAATTTGTGCTGTAGCAGGAGGCTTAAACAATTCTAATATGAGTTTGGGTTCAACTTGTGCTGTTGTTGGCTGTCACAACAGCTCCAGAAAACTGAAAGACGAGCTAGAAACGTATTGTTTTGCACATCAACAACTTCGAAAGGCCTGTGTGTGCCCAGCGCGTTACGAACTGCACTCCATGCCGAGGAAGGAGGATCGAAAACGAGCGTGGCTGGCAGCTTTAAAACTCAAATACCCCCCGAAGAGAGTTTATGTTTGCTCCTTTCATTTTATTGATAAAAAGCCCACAGAGCTTCACCCCGACCCGGAGCTCTATCTGGGCTATGACCGGGCCCCACCAAAGAAAAGAAGGCAGCTCATCCGGACCACTGTGAGCCAGACAGCTTCCAGCAACATCGACAAAACGGCCGAATCTGTTCCCGGTGAGTGAAATTGAAAATGTGATTTGTCCCCGCTTCACATTTTAATCATGCTTAGCTCTTATCTTTTACTGAATTATATTATTATTAATGTTATAATTGTAATGTTATAATTACTATACTGTGGATGGTGTTAGCATCAGCGCTAGCTGGTTGCAGTGTTATTGTGGATGTTAGTGTATTATTAATTTAATTCCAAAATACTTTATCACTAAGAGAAAGTACTTGATTGGCAGCCAAATCCAAATCTTAAAGACAAAGTGGTTAGTAATTAACATCAGTAGCATGCTAGCAGAGATGTATATGATTTCATGTAACTGTCCGAGAATAGCTTTTTATTTAGCAACCTGGTAAAATTCAGCCCCCAGGGCTGTAAAAGTCTGGGGATTTTGTTAATAAAGAATATGTTGAGTTATTAGAGGCAGGTTATTTGAAACAGACACAGCTGAAAAAAAAACTTCTTTTAAACTCTTTAAAGAAAAAGCTTAAATGCAACCTAGCTCCAACTGATTTTTTTAAGGATAAAAACTAAAATCTAATCACAATATTTTGATATTATAGCATAATTTGATGGGGCTTAGGAAAATTTAAGGGGGCTAAAGCCCCACTAAAACAGCACTATTGACATTTAAGATGTATCATGTGTGTACGAGTGTGGAATTACAAATTTCCTTCCTAAAACGTAATAAGGTAAGTGACACTTGACAGGTTGTGTTACGCTGATTTGATTTTGTATTTTTGTGTTATTCAGAGTGCACCGTAGATTCACCGTCAGTCATCCCAGACCTGGCTAGCGTCTCCACACAACCTCCTGGGCCACATCTGCACTCAGTCCACACACAGTGGGAGGACCCTTCGCTAAAAGATCATCATCAATACTGCAACACGTCTGGCAGAAAAGATGTCCAGGACAAGACGACTCAGTGTGATGAAGTTGCATTTTTTCTTCTACAAAATGACGCAGACGCTTTGCTGTACACTGGTATAGCGTTAGAAACATTTAACACTCTTGTGTCAGCACTGGAAGGAGATGACAACAATGAATTTACAATGCCTGTACAAGATCAAGTCCTTATAACACTTATGAAAATAAAGACTAATCGTGTAATGGGTGACCTAAGCCGCCAGTTTAATATATCACAGAGCATGGCTAGCAAGATCATTTCATACTGGTTAGACAGACTGGAGGAATATTTCCGACCATTAATTCCGTGGCTGGCAAAAGAAACTATTCAAGCTACTATGCCTGCAGCCTTCAAGAAGAACTTTCCGAATACTACATGCATAATAGACTGCAGTGAGAGCCTGTTGCAGAAACCCAAAAATCTGGGCTCAAGAGGTGAATCATACAGCCACTATTATTCACACAACACAGTCAAATATTTGGTAGCTGTTGCACCATGTGGACTAATCATGTTTGTGTCTGCGGCATATGGCGGTCGATGTAGTGACAAATTTATCACAATGGACTCTGGAATATTAAACTACCTGAAACCTGGTGATGAAGTCATGGCAGATAGAGGTTTTACAATAAAAGAGTTGCTTTTTGAGAGAAAAGTTAGATTAGTAATTCCTGCTTTCACAAAAAAAAAGGGACAGCTAACTGAGGAACAGGTAACATGCACGCGTCGGATTGCAAATGTTAGAATTCATGTTGAAAGAGCAATCCGACGTCTGAAAGTTTACAAAATTTTATCTCAAACTGTTCCCATAAACATGGCTCCTAAAATAGACAAGATTTTGAGGATATGTGCTGCTCTAGTCAATTTGAGAAAGGATCTCATCCGTGACACAGAATAATTTTAATGTACAGATATGTAGGGAGGAAATACCCTGATGCATACTCAAAAATCCAGGTAGAAAAATCTAAAAAAGCCAAGTCCGGTCCTCTACACATTCAAAAAAATGCTTTGGTTTGTTTTGCTTTTTTTGAATGTTCAGAGGACCAGACTTAGCTTTTTTAGATAGGGAGTAAATAATTTCTAGGTTTCCCTTTTTTATATATTTTTATATATTTTATATATTCTCCACATCATGAATGTTTTTGTTGAAAAGCTTACTTAATAGTGTACATATGATGCAATCAACTGAACAATGATTCTTTTTTTTATTCAACCACAATATAACAGTTTCTTCAAAATGGCAACAAATGATTTTCTCAAAACAACAATGTACATATTGTCTTGTCTTGGAAGATTGCAAAAAATAGATAACTACTTTGTCATCAACTTCAATTTGTTATTAATTGCCCAGCATGTGTTTAAATTTTGTACATTTTACTTGTGAAATATTCAACAAATTTTCTATTAAATGTCTGCTTTCATTCACAACACAGACTTGAACTCTGACTATATTGATGTCTGGCTGTCAAATTCATAGTTGTCCTTAAGGGCCAATGTACATTACAGCTTGTCCATTATCTTCAAGTATCTGTCATTTAACTTAAACCGTCCTGCAACATACTCTTCTACAAGCCGAGGCAAGAAACATGAGAAGTAAAAGCCTCTCAAGCGGTCTACTTTTTCTTTAACAAATGCCTCATCATATTGCACTGTAAATGAAACATGCTCACTTGGTGTCCAGATCACAAGTGTTGCAGTCTTTAGACGTGTGCAAAACATTGTAAGCTGCACTTGCATGTAATAGCCTCTGCTTCCTGTTTTATGCAGCTGCAGCTCTCCATCTACCAATTTGATGTCGCTGCACTTCTGGGTAAGCTGCTCAGTGAGCGAAGGATGGGTTGGTACAGGACATTTAATTTCTAGCAGCACATCTGAATCAATGACCCCATCAGGACTAGCAGAGAGCCATGGCTCCTGGATGCTGACAACAGTACCCACGTGAATGATGTTCACACCCTGTTCTGTCAGTTGATCACAAGCTCTGATCTCATTTTCTTTACCGTAGTTTGTGTCATAATTACCATGAAAGGAGGGGTACAGGTGCTCCGATAAAAACTTGTCATTTTTTGTGGTAGCACGAACTGGAACTTTTTTTGCAGTGCTTGCTGTGAGTCTGATTTTTCTACAGTTGTGCCACAAATCTGATGCACTTTGTTCTTTAGTTTTTTCTTGTAATTGTGATGCTTGCTGTTCAGAAACTTGAATATATGCCAGATAGAATGCCCTGCATGGATTACAGCTAAGATCACCACTGTGTGCTTGGTGTGGCAGAAAAAATTGCTGATCAATTGTGCTGTTGCAGTGAGGTTCTGCTGATGGTGAGGCATTGTAACACTTTCCAATTAATGTGTTCTTGAGGAGAAACAGTGGCTTCATTGGCGCTTTGCTAACACTGTCTTTGAAGTCTTGGTGTGTATGATGATGTGGCGTGTTTGGGAGTGATTGTGTGACTGCAGCCCTTGAGTTGATGTTATACTGCTGCTCTGCCTTGTGGTGTCTGAAGTTTATCATGCTTAGACGTTTGGGTTGAAGATTCTTTGCTGTCCCAGCATTCCACCTGCGCTGCTCATCTGTACATGCTAGCCCCGTCTTTCCACTGATCACAGCATTCTGGACCTGTAACAATTTAACAGACTTCAGCTATCACTGCTCCTAATAAAATGAAACAAGTTATTTACATCCCTGCTGTTGTCATTTATTTTTTCCTTTTCTGTAAATGTTAGGTTGCCTTGCATCCAGTCTGTACTTTTTTAAAAACAAATAATATAAAAATACTGTACAGCCTTTTTAATGTGTAATTTTTTGTGACAGTAGATCACAGGCTGCACAATGCTCTGGCTTCCACATGTAAACACAGGCAGACAGGAAGCTCACAGCTTTCGCCCAGTTCAGTGATTCTGATTCAGTGATGTAAATATTCTGATATCCAGATAAGTGATATACCTTCCACAGAATAGCTGCCGCATGACTGCATGATTTTCCCAATCCGGCGATACAGGAACAGCCGACCGTTTCTACCACTCCACTTTCTCTGAGCATGACCCATGCTAAGTGTTTAGCTTGACCAACGCTCTGGCTCGGCTCAACAGCTGCTTTCAGAAAGATAAAGTCGCCTTGTTTCTTGAGCAAAACTGTATCTATTTTGTTGCTGTGGAGGTAATTATACGCCTCTGTGCTTTTATAATTCCGCAATTCCTCGCCATCGACGCCTTCAGAAAAAACAAGGTAATTAATAATATCGATGTAGGTAATTCCGGGCCATGATTTCATATCATCTACCCAGTCCGTGAGAAATGATGGGTGAGACACAGTTAACGACTTATCTTCGCAGCTTTTTAAAACATCCTTGCAATGTATCCACCTCTGATGTGCTGCCATTTACTTCAGGTAAAGGAAACTTTTGTGTCAAAAACATTAAATTGCTAGCAAGTGTGTTAACCCACAAACGTAAACAACAGCGCGGGATCGCGGGCGGAAGTAAACAACCGGCTTCCGCTATGAATTATGGGTAGTGGCGCCAAATCCGGAATAAGGTGGATAGTTAGGGTCGGCTTGGGTTTCCTGAGCTGTCCCTTAGTTCTGCTGCTATAGGTTTAGACTGCTGGAGGACAAACTGACCACACTTTTCTCTCTGCTACTGTCTTTACTTACTCTGCTCAACCCGTTTTGTATTTGTAATTTTTTTTCTATCCTTAACATGTATTTTTTTTTGTCTTTCAGGTATACCTGGACCTACCATTCTATGTTAATCTGTCTTTCCTTCCTGTCCTCTCAACCAGCCGGTCAAAGCAGATGGCCGTTTGTCCTGAGCCTGGTTCTGCTGGAGGTTTCTACCTTTTAAAAAGGAGTTTTATCTTTCTACTGTTGCCACTGTGCTTGCTCAGGATGGGAGACCGCAACAAAGCCAAGATTCAACTTGTCTGCTGGATTCCTTAGATAGAGAACTTTACTAATTGGCTTTTATGTATGTGAATGTTTCTGTAAAGTGCCCTGAAATAATTTTGTGTCACGATTCACGCCTGTCTGATTTAAATTCTTTTCACTTTGTTCACTGCTTGGTGTCTGTGGACTCTTTTTCTTTTCTATCTTTCTCTTGTTGTTTGTTTTTCTTGGTTTTCAGACTTCCTGCTCTGCAGCACTCTTATCTCCTCTCTGCTGGCTGCATGTGACTTTAAGTTTGTCTTCTCTTCACCACACTCCACACTGATTACTTCTCATTAGCTGCACCTGTTGCTGCACCCTTTATAAACCTGACCGGCTCACAGAGTGAGCGCCAGGGAGCGGATGGATGACGGAGAGAGAAAAGATGAGTCAGCAATTTGGTAAGGCGGTTGGCAGCGGCTGGGCTGTGAATGGGCAGGAGGTTGCAGAGGGAAGTTCTGGATCAGGAAGTGAGTTTGATGAAATGGAAGAAAATAGTGGCGGAAATGAAGAAGATTGGAGTAAGTTAGCTGCTTCAAAAAGCAGAAAAAAGCGTAAAAAGCAGACATCAGCTGAAGATATTTCTAACCCAGAAATTGATGAGGAAAATGAACTAGTAACTAAGAAACCAAAAGATGAGTATAAAGTTATTATTAAATTAAATCAAGAGGGAGAATCTTTTGGTGAATGGAACCCAATACAATTAACCAAAACAATAAATAAACTAATAGGTGAAGTCCTTAGCGCTAAGGTTTTACGAAGCGGAGCACTTTTTGTTCATTGCAGAGACAGCATTCAACAAGGAAAGGCAATTAAGATTCACAAAATGGAAGGAAAGAAAGTTCAGAGCAGTCTGGTTGAAAACAAAAAAATGGGTAGAGGAGTCATTAGTGGAGTCCCTTTAAAAATCTCAAATGAAGAAATTCAAGCAAACATACGTGGAGCAAAAGTGAAAGAAATTAAACGTCTGCAAACAACAAGAAATGGAGAACGATGTAACAGCTTGTCAGTCTTGATTAAATTTGAAGGTGAATGTTTACCAAGTAAAGTCTACATAGGCTATATGAGCTATGATGTGAAACAATACATTCCTCCTCCGTTAAGGTGTTTTAAATGCCAGAAATTTGGACATGTAGCAGCAATCTGTAAAGGAAAACAACGATGTGGAAGATGTGCAGGTGAACATGAATATGGGAAATGTGAAAAAGAGGCAAAAATTAAATGTTGTAACTGTGGGGGAGAACACACTGCTGCTTACCGTGGATGTCAATACAGTAAAAGAGCAGAGGAAATCCAAAAAGTGAAACTAGCTCAAGGGATAACTTATGCTGAAGCTGTGAAAAGAATCCCAAATCAACCAGAGAAGCCAAAACCAACAGTGACACCAAATATAAAACCAAAAACTTGTGATGGATGCTCTAAAATACCTAATGATTCAATGATAGTGAACAAAAAGGATTTTGTGCTGTTTATGGTGGAAGTGATTAATTGTTCAGCTCAGACAGTAAAGAAAACTGAAAAGATTAAAATCATAGTGAGGGCTGCAGAAAAATATCTAGATGTTAAAGACCTTGGTTGGGAAGCTGTAGAAAATATGATAGGTAAAGGAGTAACACCAACTCAGTCAGAAGGTGCTACTTCCACATGGTCATAAACATATTTCAATGGAACGCTAGAAGTCTCATCTCAAATGGTCAAGATTTTAAACATTACATATCACAACTACAAGAAAAACCACATATCATCTGTATTCAGGAAACCTGGTTAAAACCAGAATTAGATTTTGTTTTACATGGGTACACTGCCATCAGAAGAGATAGAGGTAATGGAAGGGGTGGAGGAATAATGACGTTTGTACAAAATAATATAGGTTACAGTATAATCCATATAGGAAAAGAGCATGAATACATTACTATTAAAATATGGACAGGTAGGGATGAAATGATCATTATTAATTATTATAATCCATGTAAAGAATTAACTATTGAAACACTGAATATAGTTAGAGGACAGGAACAGGGGAAAATTGTTTGGTGTGGAGATTTTAATGCTCACAATAATCTTTGGGGAAGTGATCACACAGACATAAATGGTAGAAACGTAGAGGAATTCATTGATGATAACAGACTGGTGTGCATAAATAATGGAACAGGGACCAGATATAATATTACAAAGAACACAGAAACAGCAATAGATTTAACAGTCACCTCAAATAACATTGCAGGAATTACGCAGTGGGAAGTAATAAATAAAACATCACTTGGTAGTGATCATTATCCAATAACCATTA